TGCGGGTTATTACCCGGCTTCGTGGCCGTTGGCTGAACGATTTGCTGCCTGAAAGGGGGGTTTTCCTCCTTGCGAACCCGCAGTGCTGACGCGCTGCAGCTCGCGTCGCTCGGCGCTGCGCTCTGGCCCGCGCGCTCCCCTTGGCTCCTCTCCTGCTCCCCGGGAAGGCGGTTCTGCTGCCGGTGGGAGTGTTAGGGAGGAGCTGGGAGAGAGGAGCCCACGAGGGCCGGGGAGGAGCTCACAAGGGTGGGAGAGAAGCCCGTGGCGCAGGCCGGAGTCAAATCCAGAACACATCACCGATCCCCGGGTTATTTTCCACTCAATACCATTCTCTTCCCTTTCAGACGTCGGCATGGAGCATTTTATTAAAAAGGTGGAGGCGGCTCACTGCGCTGCCTGTGACCTCTTCATCCCGATGCAGTACGGCATCATCCAGAAACACTTGAAGTCGCTCGACCACAACCACAACCGCCGGGTGAGTGCGCGGCGCGGCGGGGGGCTTTGCGGGCAGTAACGGGAGCGCGATTGGGGCGGGTTGAGGTCAGGCCGTTCCTGAAACCGGGGAGAACTTTTCTTCGTCCTCTTCAGTTCTTCTGCCCGTGGTCTGCAGTTAATTTTCACGGTCAGAAATTTCTCTCCACCCTCTGCAGTTAATTTTGGACGTTCTTGCGTCCCCAGAAACTCTCCGCGGAGCCTGCGGTTAATTGTGACTGGTTTTGTGTCCCCAGAAACGTGCCCTTTGCAAACGCTGGCAAGCGAGGGATTAAAGCGCCTCCAGCACAGCCTTGTGCCAATCTAAAAATGAGATCTCATCTCTCTTGCCCTTTTTCTTGCAAAATAAGCAGCTTTCTGACTTCTAGGGGGACGTTGTAACAAGCTTTACTACACCCGCAAGCAGTGATCGGAGGCAGCGGCCGGCAGACGACGGCTTTTCCTAGGTCTAAGCCACGGCAGTCGGCTCGTGACTTGTGGCGGTGCTGGGCAGGCTGCGGTGCTGGGCAGGCTGCGGTGCTGGGCGGGCTGCAGTGCCGGCTGCAGCGCTCGGCTGTCCTGCGCTCCCTGCGCTTCAGCAGGCTCACACGCGCCGACTGTCAGCTTCGGTCCCCAGAGACTGAACGAGGAAACGAACCCACGCGGCCTCTCCTCGGCGGCTTGATAATCGCCTTTCCGACGCACAGAATGCCGGGAACGTGCGGAAATCACGGATTTCCTAAATATTCCTCCCTTGTTACCTGCCCAAATACCGAAGCGTGCTCCGTGCCGCGGTAGCCTGTCGTCCGCTGCTGAGCTGTGACTAATTACTGACCTCGTAAATTAATTCAGAACAAAATCTAAGTGCGTGGTTGGTTGTTGTTTTTTTTTTGTCTTCCCGTCCAGGCGATGATGGAGCAGTCCAAGAAATCATCGCTAGTCGTTGCGAGGAGTATTCTCAACAACAAACTCATCAGTAAGAAACTGGAGCGGTACCTGAAGGTGGGTGTTCGTGGGGCGGCTCGGGGCGAAGCCCATAGCGACACTTCCACGCTGTAGGGATTCTGCTGTTCATGATTGGGCGTGCTCATCAGCTGAAATTCGAGGCAATTTGGGGTGTTTTTGGTAATCTGTTGGATTACTGGTCGCTGAGTCTCTGCGGTGCGGACGACTTCGTCTGTCAGCTGCCCCACATCGCGCCGAACCCTGAGCGAATGGGAGGAGCAAGGCCTCCGGCTTCAGCTTTGGCCGGAGACGCGAGCGTCGCGCTGTCGCCGCTGATCTTAGCGTTGATTTGGATTCCCGAGGTGGCATCTGCTTTCTGGAGTTGCTGGCTTGGTTGCTGCCGGCGCAACCGTTGCACTGAGCTTCTTGGGAGGGTTTGCTGGCGCGTAGCCGTGTGAATTCCTCGAAGCGGCCAGAGAGAAACTCGCAGCAGACGAGTGTTTCTGTCTTCTCTGTGCAGGGTGAGAATCCTTTCACGGATGATCCAGAAGAGAAGGAGGAGCATGAGGAAGGAGAAGGGGGAGCCAGCGGAAATGCAGAGGAAGGAACAGCAGAAGGAGCAGATGAGAACAAGGATGAGGAGGAAAATGCGGAAGAAGACAACCCGGAGGAGGAAAACCCAGAAGAAAATCCAGAGGAGGAAAATCTGGAAGAGGAAAATCCAGAGGAAGAAGGAAATCCAGAGGAGCAAAATCGAGATGAGGAAAAAAAGGATCCCGAAGAGAACCCGGAAGGAGCTGAAAACGAGGGAGAGCGAGAAGAGACAGAGACGGAAATGGAGGCACAACCACAAGCACAAACAGCGGTGGAGCCGGCGGCAGAGAACGCGGAGGAGCAGCCATCCCCGCCCGCAGAGGAATCCCTCGCCGAGGAAGAAGAGCCGCAGCTGGTAGAAGATGAGGAGGAGGAAGAAAGCGAGGAAGCTGCTGCAGCACAAGAGGATGAGGATGTGGAGTAAACTCTGGAGGGGGCAGCTGATGTGTAAAAGACCTGACGTATTTGGTTTGGGTTTTGTTTTTTTTTAAAGAAACATAACTGTATCTGTGAATTTCATAGCACATATTTTGAGTTCTCATTCTACTAAACTCATGTAGGCAGCAGAAGCCTTGACCCGTAAAGTGATTTATGGAAAGTAGAGGAAACTTGTTTTTTATTTTTACCAAAATCTTCATTTTTAGTAGCTAGGTTTTGTGCAGTCTCTGTTTTTTAGATGGCTTTGTACTAGGAGAATTTCCTTTTGAGCATGTGTGCAAACCAGTGCTACTTCACGAGCGGGTGAACGAAACCTCTTCTCTTCCCCTTGAATCGAAACTTTTCTATATTTAACAAAGACGTGGTTTGGTCCCCTCCGCCCGTCTGTCTGGAAACAGCAGAAATTCGGGTCCGGGGGGTTTCGTTTCTGCAGCGTACGCCGCTGAGGTCCTGCAGAACTTCCACGTGACGGTAATATTCCCCTCCCTCCCTCCCCCGATGTTTTATTCTTCCTTTGAACGTGGAGCGAAACTAAGTGGTGTCGACATCGTATTGTTTGTAAAACGCTTTCATTTTAAAGGTGAATGTTTTTGGTGGGTGGGGAAAAAAGGACTGTCCTGAGATCCCCTCTGACTCGGCCTCAGTTTTTGGTGCCCTGCTAAAGCTTCCGAGAGGTCGGAGGCTGAGAACCGGCCTGCGAACCCTCTGGCTCCGCGATCTGGTTCGTTAATTTGGGTTCGGCTCCCCTCGCCCGATCTTCAGCGCTGCGCGCGGAGCCGACTTCCTTGCCTGTGTCGGCAGTGAATGCTTCGTTGAAGCTGTCATCGCCTGGAGTACAGATTCTCCTTCGTGAAACGAGGGAGAAATAAGGAAATTCGTTTCCGTGACACCGCAGAGGTTATTCCCGCTACGGAGAGAGGTGGTCCTGCCAGATGGGTCCATGGATAAGGATGTGCTCAGCCTTGGATCACCAGCGTGACACCACATCCAGCCTTACAAAGCTCCACCTTGGTGTAAAGAACAGAAGCTTCGCCCAGCAATGCGCAGAAAGCGAGGTTTAAGCGTTAACGTGAAGTGCTGAGTCCGCTCCCGACCGCAAACCCTTTCCCCCAGCGCGGGTCCCTGGCAGTGGCGGCTACCGGATGCTTCATCTGTCTCTGAAGTCTTCGGTGAGCTGCTGGGACGGAGAGACGGAGGAGCCGAGCTCCGTGAGAGGAAACGCTCCGCCTGCTCCCCGCCAGGGAGATTTATTACCCCCAAAACTACCGATTTTGGATCCCATAGTGTTTATCCTGGCATCGCCCGCTCGCCTTCCCCGAGCGGTGAACCCCTCTCCCGCAGGCAGCCGTCTCCAACCAGTCCTGGAAGATTCTTTTCCAACCGTAATTAATACCCTGAGTCACTAAATAGCTCGTTGGCGCCGGAATGAATTTAGCTCGTTCCCTTTCGCGTGGGGAGGGGCAGATCCCGAGGTCAACCCTGCGAGCTGCTGGGTGTCAAGGGAGTTGCCAGCCACTTGCTTCCACCTTTTGCTTGAGTTTCATCAGCCAGTTTTGGGGTGTTTTACCCTATTAAGCCTGATTTCCCCCCATTCCCCCCCCCCAATCTTGCTTGGATGCCTGTTTGAGCTCAGCGCGCTGTAATTACCCCGGACGCCGTTAGTGCGCTGTGGGATCGAACGGGGCCTGGACACGGTGCTGTGCCCCCTGCTCTGGGTGACCCTGCTTCGGCAGGGGGTTGGGCTGGGGGACCCCCAGAGGGCCCTGCCAACCCCCACCATGCTGGGATTCTGTGAAAAGACAGGAGGAGGGCGCGGGGTTCAAAAGCTGCTTCGGAAGCGCAATTTTGACACGTGTTTTGGCTCTGCAGGCAGACGGGCATTCAGCTAGCCACCGTCGTCTGTTCAAATTCAGCCCGTGCCAAGAAGAGAGTCTCGATTCTGTCGCCTCCCCTTCCAGCTGCCGCCTTTTCCTCCTTGCTCAGCAGAGCTTTGTGGCCATTTCCAGGTTTCCCCCTGGTTTTCCCTCTCCGTAGAAGCCCTAGATTTAGATTTACTTTAGATTTAATTCATTTTTATCGAGATTTGATTAGCTGATTCCATCCTGATGAAAATAACTGGGCCTGGCTTTGTTGAACCACGAAGGAACTGACCCGTGCTTTGCCAGCGTTGTTTTACGGCATTTGGGGACCGATGTTTTCATCGGGGTGGGTTTTCAGGAAGAAGGACAGGGAAATACCTCTGATATAAGGTTTCTTAAGAAAATTGAGATTGTTTAATGGGGGTAGGCTGCCTGTAACCTTAAATATTGGGTCCTGAAACCAGTGAGATCTCTGGGAGCCAGCCATTCTTTTTAAAACCAGATATAACCCACCTTTATGTGTAAGATTGGGGAAGGTGTAACTCACCTTCTGCTTTATTTCCTTATTTTCCCCTTTCTGTTGCCCATACTTCTCTAACACACTGTTACACCGGCTTGAGAAATGAGTTTTGAGAAGAGGGGTGCAGGTTGCGTGTTCGATATGCTGCTTCCCAGCTGGTTGCTCGGGAGAAGACTCTTCGCCTCTGGGTTGGCAGCTCCTCCCATCCCCTCTTCCTGGCTCCAGACGCCTTGGCGTCAACCAAAACATCTGCAGAACTTCCAGCAGGGAACAGCGAGGGGAGCTTGGGCTGCTTGCTGCCCTGATTATCTTCTACCCCGTTGTTTTTTTCCACCTCGATTATTAACAAGGGGAGGGAAAATCAGCTGTCAGGGTGGAAGAACAATTTGTAATTAATTCCCTTCTCGTGTAATTGGGGCGCAGCCTGAGTGAGGTTACCTCGGCGTTCCTGGAGTTTGGGTTGGAAGGAACATCTCGCCGCCTCGTAGCAGAACCCAGCTTCCCCTTGCGGAAGTGAATTTTTATCCCTTGAACAGCTGCTTTTCAGGTCGGCGAACAGGCACGTGGTGCGTTTCGGACGCTTTCCCCGTGCTGTTCCGTCGAGCTTTCTACCTTCTGGTGAGGGATTAATTGTACAAGGGCCCTTCCCGCGGACTCTGAGCTTTCTAACGAAGGTGCGGCCAAGGAGCGAGGCCTTCTCGAGAGGCAGCTGGTGCTTGGGGCTCATCCAGCTTCTTGGACGCGGTTGGGGCTTTACGGTTGCAGTGTAACCGGGTCCTTTTACACTAAATGTCGCTGTGGGTTTGTGTTCTGAGTCAAAATCCTTGAGTTCGGTGCAGCTATAGAAATGCTGAGTGCTTGTGTACGTAGCATGAAGGTTTTGATGGCTCTGTGCTCCTCAGTAAACTCCAAAGATCTGATGACAATTAATTAGTTGTGCTAACTAAACCCCCTCCCCCTCGGACTGCTCGAAGCTGAGCAGGACGGACCTCGGTCTGTGATGATCCGCAGGACCAACCCAAGCAGCTCATCCCCGGAGCTGCTGCGGCCTCGGAGCGCCCCAGGAGAGGTGAGGAAGGGGAATCCGGAGAGGTCAGCGGGTGCGAAATCCCTTCTGCGCCAACTTCCCTGTAAATGCTTTCCCGGAACAAACTCTCTCTGAAGCAAGCTGCGGTCACGGAGAGTTGGCCGCAGCTCCTCCCGTGTGCTGGCTGCTGCCAGGGCCGAGCTTTCGGACAGAGGTGCCGCACGTCTGGCCCTTGCTCGGTTTACGCCTGTCGCGATGGTTTTCGGATGCTGCCGCTTTTCCCCAAGGAAAGGCGAGCCCAATTGTCGCTTTGGCTTGCTTCCCTCCACGCTCCCCGTGCATCTGCTGGCTCTATCCCGCCTTGATTTGTTGGAGAACGTGCAGTTAAGCGCCACAATTCAAATTTATGCCGTTCAGCATAAATAAGGATGGTTTCTTTTCCCCAGAGCACCCTTATGTCTGCTACGGCTGCTGCAATCTCCTCGGCGGTGGCCCTGGCTCTGAGGCTGGCAGCAGATTTAACTCTTATTTTCTGATTGTTTAGCCAAGATCTCAGTTCCTGCTAATGCTCTTGGGTATTTTATCATGTTAGTTAATGATTATAAGAGTTATAATCACCTGCACTCCTCTGACTCCTTCCTGATCATCCCTGTACCCAGCACAGCTTGCTGCTCTTCTCTAAAATGGTATTTTTGTAGGGGCTGAAACAAGAAGGACCCAGGGAAGAGATTGCAGGAAAAATCTGGGGAAATAAATTGTGGGAGGCTTTGAGACAAGCGTTGGGGTGGTTTCGGAGCAGGCAGCCCCGTCTCCTGGTGGGATTTCCTGCGGATGCACCCAGCCTCGTAGCTCTGATACCTTTGGTGGTCTCTGAGGCCCTGGGGACCATCTCAGGGCAAGGAGCTTGGAGGTGCTGGAGCTCCCTGGGATATCTATTAGTCATCAGCAATTAAGGACAGCTGGTAGGACTTGTTTCTGTGGTGTTAGGTGTAGAAAGTTACTGATAATGCAGCACAGCTGTGCTGATTTAACTCCTTATTCAGACTGTGAAGTTGCCAACAGCATCATGTTCATTTATTTTAATTATTTTAGATGAGAAACACATGAACAAGACTTTAAATGCTATTAAATTAAGGCCTTCCCTCGAGAATATATCACCCAGAGCATCGTTTCCTAGTCTGAATGTTTCCAGGCTAGCAATCTAGATGCAATCTGGAAGTATTTCCCCAAGGTATGGAAATAGTTGTAGTAGGATTCTGTGAGGCTCCAATCAAGGTGCTGCAATGGCTACTCGCTGTTAACACAGGCCTTCAATCCTCCCTGTTTCCCTTCTAGAATGGGGAAATTGATTGATCTCGGCTCTAACACGTGGCTGCTGGGACAAATTCCAGATCTGGGGGGGGGTGTGTGTGTGTAAAGATTTCCTTTAGGTGCCACCAATCCATCTTCCACATCCTCCAGAAGCAGCTTGGGCGTTTGTCTGGCCCTTCCGTCTGAAATTGTTGGACTTCGCTTTGTTCGGTTCTGCATTCCCCGGGATTTTTTCCTAATTCTCTTAAAAAAAACGGTTGTCAGCCTCT